GATAAATCATGCCTGCAATACACGTCAAGTAAAAAATAGAGTAAGAGAAGTTCGACGAAATTGGTCTGGTTCATCAAATAAAAAGGATTATGCATGTAATAACTTTTAAAAGGCAAAAAATAACAACTCATACACGACCTACTTCAGAAACTAGTTATAACAAAATAATTCCCCACAGCGTAAAGTACCATCCACGAAAAATATAATGATGTCAATTGATACTAAGCAAAACATTAGCTTGCACGAGATTTTCCCTCATACTGACCTGTATTTTGGCTTAGAAGATGATACAGTCGTCCCTTGGCTCGACAGACCAATTGCTGGAGGCAATTATTCAGGTTCACCACATTTGTCGGAGCTTTATCAACCAATTGCTTAGTTAGCTCTTCAGTTTCCTCTGAAATACACCACAACAATAAACCGACATGTAAGACAAGTATGAAAAGGTTAGGAAACTCAGCACATAGCCTAACAGTAATAGCACATTGAATGACTGACTAGACTGCAATTGACTTGCATTAATTTATCACATTTCTTAAGCATTTCACAAAAATCTAGATATAGCTGATTGCACAGTCGTTATGTGTGAACCCGACATATTGCATAACTATATTTCAGATACTGCAAGTGTTACCGAAGAAAATTCAACAATCAAATGGAAATAACAAATCATGCAACTGACGATACATTGAAGATGAAAATCCCAAGAAAAAAGATTAGATAAAAATAAAAATTTCAGTTTACGCTTATGACAAGCAAACTAAGCTCGTCATCAAGGTTGAGAGTATAAAAAGGCAGAGGATAAAAGACAGCAAATCACATCGAAGCGACAAATCCTAAACACGGAAAATAATCAAATTACCTGCTATGCGCTTTTCACATTCTTTGATCAAATTAGTAAACCTAGAGTCTCCAGGTGCCAAAGAAGCACCAGTTTCCAAGGCTGTCTTAGCAGTTTGGAATTCTTCGAGATTGATACACGCCACACTGTCACGAGAACATAAATAAACAACTAAGAAATTTGCATTCAAAGAGCCATCAGAATAAAAATGGAATATTATCTTAAGTATACTTTAGCCAATGCTGGGTCAAAGCTAACAATCAAAACAAAGTTAATCGAGACCTTAAAAAAATCCGTGTCTCAAAGCAGACGAACAAAATGCAAAAAACTTTTTTGTTGAAAAGCTTTAAATCAACTATTCAGATTTCTATACTTAATTAGAGAAAGGACATAATGCACACGGGGCATCTCCTTATTCCGTACGAGAAAAACTAAATTTATTTCAAAAACCATAACAAAATCATTCAATCGAAAACAAACTCACCCTTTACGTAGATACGCTTTCGTATTTGCAGGGTTCAACTCGATTGCTTTATTTGCATCAGAAACAGCATCTGCACGTCAAACATCAACGGAATCCGTTCACCAACAATAATAAAACTAACTTATAAACAAAATTCATATCAATCTTTTCAAGCCATACACTCAGATTAGAAAATATTTTTCGGATAAGAGTTTTATCAATTCCAACTCCATGATCCCAAATCTACATATCCGCACTACACGCAATAGACTCCACTCATTTAAATCAAGCAGAGCATAAAACTGGTTTTCTAATAACAATGCCATCAACAAGTATATCCAAAAGCAATAGTAACTTGGATTAAAACAAAAAAATTGGCTAAAACCACCAGAGCCAATAGGATTAGGGTCCTAAAATCGAAAAAAAACCGAAAACTAAAGATCGAAATTCGAAACAAGTTTAGCACAATCTACCTGTGCCCATAAAATTCTCCCACTCTACATACCAAAATTATCCAAATACAACAATAACAGTAAACTTCAGTACATAAAAAAAAAAAAAAAAAAATCAATACACAACATGAAAATCAAAAATTAATCTGATACCAGTGAAGCTTTGGAGTTTAATATTGGCCTGAGCGCGGTCAACGAAGAGGTCAGCGTTGCTAGGGCACAGAGCAATGGCTTGAGAGTAGAGGTCAATGGCTAGTTCGAAGTGGTCATCTACGAAAGCTTCTTTGGCCTTTGATTCCAGATCGGAAGACGACGCCATTGATTTGTTTCGATTCAACTCAATCAAACACTGCGGATTGTGTGTTTGTGTGTGTGATTTTTCTTTTGTACGTAACGATTGGAACTTTCTGGAGACACGTTGGAATTGAAAAGCAGAGAGTATTGAGAAGGGGCGAAGTAAATCAAGATATATTTATATATAGAGAGAGAGAGTTTTTTTTTTTTTTTTTTAATAAGGAAGATAAAAAAAAAAGAATGCCTTGTTCTATTTGGAAAAGGACTATGAAAAGGGAATGAGAATGCAATAATACAATTAATTAATTAATTGATTTAATTAATTAATTACAAATTCTAGTTATGCTAAATTATAGTAATATCAATGTCACGATTTTTTTAATTTTTTTTAAATTAATTTTAGTTTGAAAATTTTATTTTCATAATTATCACATCTAGGGTTCTAATCCTACTGCACCGATGCTTCCCCAGTTTGTAAAGGATTTGAATATTGCTAAAAAAAATACAAAATTGTAGTTATAATATCAAGAATCGAGACGATAAACGTACCATATTAGCCGAGGCCTCTCACATACTGATCAACAGTTTTATTGAATAGCTCACAACTGCACAAACAACATCAGACAAAACCGACTTAGCATCAACTAAGTTACGTAGTTCCGAAGCATTATAAAAATATACATACTCAGAAGTCGAGACAATGTAACCCTTTTTAGAGGTCGAGATAAGAAAGCTTGCACGGTGTTTTTTCCCCTTGATTTCAATTTTTAGTAAAAATGTATATTTTTTTTTAGTAATAATAGTGAGAAAGTTAGTAGTAATGTACTATTATCTTGATTAACAAAACAACAATGGTAATAATTGTAGATTGCTAATAATATTATAAATAAGAAAGCTAATAACAACAATAGTTTAATGCACTAAACATTAGTTTAGTGCTGAACATGTATCGAGATTCGAGAGGGATTCAGTACAAATCTTAGCGAGAATGCTGATGAAAATTAGTAGAGTGGATTTGTTTGGGAAATGAGATTCTGAAGCTAATCAAAATGAAAATTAGCCATTTAATATTATGGTTAAGACTGATGATGTTAGTCTGTTTTTTTTTTGTTTTGCCGGAAAAATAATATTTCGGGATTTCCCGTTCCATATCCCAGAATTCCGGGGTTTCTCGGAGATCCCGAAAGACCAGATTTTAAGTAAATATAAAGAGAATTCGGAAAGTAAAATTTCAATCCCGATCCCAAAAATCCCCGAAATCCAAAAAATATTAAAGAATTTTTAGTGATGTGTGTAACTGTAGAGAACTGCAGATAAATACTCAACCAAAAAATTACGACTCACCTGATGGGAGTTCCAGGAGAATATAGTGGATTCTTGACAACATACTCAACGTACAAGTTATATATGTACTTGAGAGAGTCTCTCAGATCACCAGTCTTTGGGTGAGTGACGAGAATAAGCTGCATAACAAAAAAAAGTTTATTAAAAACGCCAAAATGATATTTTTATTACACAATGTGGACATGAGTAAACGAAAGAAGTAACTAATGAATGGTGAAAGGATCATAAGGAACTGTAGACATTGACATTCATTTAGCTTTATTGAATTATTAAGGGTTCATAACACAGAATTATATTAGAGGATTTTCCAACCTGTATGGTCTTATTATTGCAGATACTCAGAAAATTCAAAAGAAAGAACGTTAAAAACTTATAAATTGAAAAGAGAGAATGTTAAAAACTAAAAAGTAAAAACTGATTGTGTTTTAGCCAATGAAATTTGGTTGGTTACATGATACCCGAACTGGATAGAAAGAGTAGTACACTCAGATAAACATAATATTATGATTTCCTTATACTAACTTTGGATTATCCTTAATTCATACTAATACAATTCATTAAGAACTCTTGAACGTTTATTATTCAAACTAGGAATCTTGTTTCTACACTATCCTCGACCCAAACACCCTAAGAGAGCTTTTTAATCTGAATCAGTCAAAGGATGAAATAGTATTTCAAGAAAGTAACCATGTTTCTTCGAAAGATTGATCAATAACAAATCCAATTGTGCGTTAAAATTATGGAAAAAAGCACAGAACTAATACCATCAAGTTCTGCAATGAAAAGATACCTAGTCCATCGGCATCATCAACTTATAACCGTAGTATTTCATGTTTCTTTAACTCAGTTGATAAAGTTAATCAATAGGGACTCGTTTATGCTGCTTTTATCTATTAACCTTAGAACCAAACTCCAGTATGAAATTTGCTTCCACATGAATCCTTTATCCTAGTTTTATTTCCCAATCAACCCCGACTGTAATGACTTCATTTCAAAGGCAAAATTCTGCAACACCGATTCCTTCTGTTGTAATAAAAGATTAGGACAGCGACAAAACTTCTATTTGCACTGGGGGAATCATGTTTTAAACAAAAAGCCCATCTCACAGTGAGAATCATTTTGACATGTAACTAAGGGATTTCACTACAGAAAACTCAAATTCATAAAATCGGAACAAGTTTAGAGAAAATTTACACATTAATGCATCTCGTGCCGTAACAAGTTTCCAAATCAAGCATTTCATAATTCAAGAAAAAGGCCACTTACCTTAATCCCAACTAAAACCAATCATCACAACTAACCTTAATCCCAGATGGACTCTCCATGAAACTCAATTTATAAGTATTGGTTCTGAAACTGTGAAAAGAACATCCTTGCCCTGGTAACTGCGGCTGTGAAAAGAACATCCTTGCCCAGGTAACTGCGGCACCCCAAGATTCCCTTTATCAGCACTGCCAAAAAAGAAAAAAAAAAAAGAATCACTAGCTTGTGAAAGTTAATAACGGGAACCCGCATCAATAACCAATCAAAAGAGCAAATTTTTATTTATTTTTTTGGTAGAGCTGATTTTGATATTTTTCGAAGAGGCATAACGTCGAATACCTGGTGGGATCCATTTTAGCAGTTAAGGATTTGAGAGAGAAGAGGAGACCAAACATTAGCTTGTGATCTTGCTGTGGACTGAGGGTTTTGAGGGGTCGATTCCATTCTCTGTAAAGCAAAGCGACGCCGTTTCTGTTGAATATGTATAGCATGTGGGCATTGTTCCCAGATGCGGTCGGCGCCGGCGGCGATGGACTGATTTCTGTGCCACCGAAGAATTGCATTGTTCTTGTTGGAGTATGATCGAAATTCACTGATTAGTAATCACTTCGGATTTGTTTTGAGCAGAAATTTGAAGATCGGCGAGTGATCTTGAACTGTTAACCCCAATAAAGAAAATAAATAAACAAATAATTTTGATTTAAAATAAATTTGTTTTCTTATTTTCGGGGAAAAATTACGAAAACAATTCAAATTCGAAAAAAAAAATAAAAAAAAAATGCCCCAATTTACGGCCAACTGATGAGGTAAGGTCGAATTACGAAAAACCCCTCATGTTTTGGTAATTATAACCACCATCAACTATGAATATTTTACACGTTCATTATTGTTGTGTCAAATTTAGTAGAATTTTCTAGATTATGTTGAATATTCTTTAGTTTTTTACCGTTTTACCCCATTTGAACTCCACATTTTGAAACAAGATAATCATAATATATGTCTCTTGGCTTAAAACATATCAAGTTGTAGTGCATCAAAAATTGTATTTTTGCACAAAACTGAATACAAACTATAGAACATTACACGGAATCTAAAAGATTTTATTGAATTTAACACCACATAGATGGACGTGTAAGAAGATTCATACTTGAGAAAAATAATTGTCGTAATTACTCAAACATGAGGGTTTTTTCTTTCTATCAGAAAAAACCTTACTTCAGGAGGATGGCCGCAAATTAAAAACCCTTACATTCAAGAAAGTGTTTCAAGTAAAATCTTCTATCTAAGTGACTAAATTATCCTTCATGGAATGTAATATATTATTAAGTAATACTAAAATAATATAATATGTTTGAAGACAATCATAATCAAGAACAAGTGCTAGAGATTTCTCCCTTCGTGATTGAATTTGTTATATTGGCTGCTTATTTTTTATGAATTCTTTTCGAATAATAAAACATATTTAATTATGATTTAGTAAAAACATAAAACACTCCAACCATAGTGCTGTAATGAAATAAACATTTTTGAGTATCAAAAGTCAACAGATAAAAGATAGTCAACTTGCTCTGATCTAAAGAGAAAAGTATGAACAAGTTCAAAAACAACCAAGGCAAAATACCTCAGCACAAAAAATGACTTGTGCCAAAAAAAAAAAATTAAAAAAAAAAAAAAAGCAAATATATGACTGAGATCGATCAAAAGACAAGAGACGTCCTATCAGTACTCCCATTTCTTCAACTCCATGCCGTCTGGCGCGCTTCCTTCAACCTTCTTTGCACCAACTTCTTTCCAGTTTGTCGATAGTACGGTTCCGTTTGATTCAATCTGTACCACCACATAAATGTCAGAGAGAGAGAGAGAATTAGAGAGAGTTAGAGAGAGAGGGAGAGAGTTTACGGTTCTTACGAAAGACTTGCTCATGGCTCGTTTTGTGTCCTCATCAGCATCACCGTATATGTCTTTAAAGAACTTGTTCAAAGCTGCATCACCATCGAGTTTCTCATCCTTTTCCTAAATATGCAGAGAAAGAGAGAGAGTTATGCAATCGAGGAATATATACATGACAGAAAGGAGAGAATGATAGAAGAGAAAACGAGATGAAATATACACCTCTTTTTTCATTTGAGCTTCCAATTTATCCCAGTCTACTCTTTTCGGTTTCGATGAAGGATAAGCGGGTTTTTTGTTGCCTGCTGAACAAAAATTAAAAAATCAGAAAACACGAGCAAAACTGGAAGTTCTTGGGAAATAAGCTCGAATCTCAATGTGGTGGTATTCGGCATATAATAGACGACTTACCTGATGATACAATCGCTTTCTGTACAACAGCAACATCTGCCTTGAATTCAAGTGATGCCCATTGCAAAGTGTCTGCTTTGGCGAGTCGGATTTCAATTTTTGTAGACATGACGGTGTATCGAGATTTTGCAGGAACAATCTGTTTGTCAATATATAACATCAATACACAGAATAAGCAACGGAAACGGGAATATCAAAAGAAAAGTATGAACTGTAGAATATCTGCACCAGGACCCGCTTTTGTATCGGCAACACTAATAGTGGACAAAGAAACAACTAGCACTAGCTAATTACGAAGCAAAGAAACATTAAAAAAAAAAAAAAAAAAAAAAAAAAATATTGCCCTATATTATGCTTTCGTACCGGTAATAACACTTTTTCTGGTTGGCTAAAAGTTAACTAAATTCGAAGTATTTACACATTAAACACTTTTTCTGGTTGGCTAAAAGTTAACTAAATTCGAAGTATTTACACATTATCAGGTTACGCAAGAACCAAGAACAGGAGGTTTGCTGAGTAAGATTCAACACTCACAAATAGCTCATTCAGGATATATTCTTACTTTCCTAGTGGAAAGAAGTATACAAAAAGAACTGTGTGCCCAAATCAAAGTATATGGATTTTAATTTTAGACATCACCTTTCCAAATAACCGCGGCTGAAAATGATATGCTTCTTCACCAGGCACTTCAATGGTAACGCTAAGCTGAATATCAATAAAAGAGAAAAAGGAGTTTCGGTTCAGCCCAAGTCACTAAAGAACGATGTGAAATTCAGAACAATATAGTCATGCACTACTTACTATTTGTTCACCAAAGTCAACCACAACGTTGTTTGCCGGTATGCCCTTTGCGAAAACTGTTACCACCACTTCGTCAGGTTTCTGATAAAATTCATGCCTGCAATACACGTCAAGTAAAAAATAGAGTAAGAGAAGTTCGACGAAATTGGTCTGGTTCATCAAATAAAAAGGATTTATGCATGTAATAACTTTTAAAAGGCAAAAAATAACAACTCATACACGACCTACTTCAGAAACTAGTTATAACAAAATAATTCCCCACAGCGTAAAGTACCATCCACGAAAAATATAATGATGTCAATTGATACTAAGCAAAACATTAGCTTGCACGAGATTTTCCCTCATACTGACCTGTATTTTGGCTTAGAAGATGATACAGTCGTCCCTTGGCTCGACAGACCAATTGCTGGAGGCAAATTATTCAGGTTCACCACATTTGTCGGAGCTTTATCAACCAATTGCTTAGTTAGCTCTTCAGTTTCCTCTGAAATACACCACAACAATAAACCGACATGTAAGACAAGTATGAAAAGGTTAGGAAACTCAGCACATAGCCTAACAGTAATAGCACATTGAATGACTGACTAGACTGCAATTGACTTGCATTAATTTATCACATTTCTTAAGCATTTCACAAAAATCTAGATATAGCTGATTGCACAGTCGTTATGTGTGAACCCGACATATTGCATAACTATATTTCAGATACTGCAAGTGTTACCGAAGAAAATTCAACAATCAAATGGAAATAACAAATCATGCAACTGACGATACATTGAAGATGAAAATCCCAAGAAAAAAGATTAGATAAAAATAAAAATTTCAGTTTACGCTTATGACAAGCAAACTAAGCTCGTCATCAAGGTTGAGAGTATAAAAAGGCAGAGGATAAAAGACAGCAAATCACATCGAAGCGACAAATCCTAAACACGGAAAATAATCAAATTACCTGCTATGCGCTTTTCACATTCTTTGATCAAATTAGTAAACCTAGAGTCTCCAGGTGCCAAAGAAGCACCAGTTTCCAAGGCTGTCTTAGCAGTTTGGAATTCTTCGAGATTGATACACGCCACACTGTCACGAGAACATAAATAAACAACTAAGAAATTTGCATTCAAAGAGCCATCAGAATAAAAATGGAATATTATCTTAAGTATACTTTAGCCAATGCTGGGTCAAAGCTAACAATCAAAACAAAGTTAATCGAGACCTTAAAAAAATCCGTGTCTCAAAGCAGACGAACAAAATGCAAAAAACTTTTTTGTTGAAAAGCTTTAAATCAACTATTCAGATTTCTATACTTAATTAGAGAAAGGACATAATGCACACGGGGCATCTCCTTATTCCGTACGAGAAAAACTAAATTTATTTCAAAAACCATAACAAAATCATTCAATCGAAAACAAACTCACCCTTTACGTAGATACGCTTTCGTATTTGCAGGGTTCAACTCGATTGCTTTATTTGCATCAGAAACAGCATCTGCACGTCAAACATCAACGGAATCCGTTCACCAACAATAATAAAACTAACTTATAAACAAAATTCATATCAATCTTTTCAAGCCATACACTCAGATTAGAAAATATTTTTCGGATAAGAGTTTTATCAATTCCAACTCCATGATCCCAAATCTACATATCCGCACTACACGCAATAGACTCCACTCATTTAAATCAAGCAGAGCATAAAACTGGTTTTCTAATAACAATGCCATCAACAAGTATATCCAAAAGCAATAGTAACTTGGATTAAAACAAAAAAATTGGCTAAAACCACCAGAGCCAATAGGATTAGGGTCCTAAAATCGAAAAAAAACCGAAAACTAAAGATCGAAATTCGAAACAAGTTTAGCACAATCTACCTGTGCCCATAAAATTCTCCCACTCTACATACCAAAATTATCCAAATACAACAATAACAGTAAACTTCAGTACATAAAAAAAAAAAAAAAAAAATCAATACACAACATGAAAATCAAAAATTAATCTGATACCAGTGAAGCTTTGGAGTTTAATATTGGCCTGAGCGCGGTCAACGAAGAGGTCAGCGTTGCTAGGGCACAGAGCAATGGCTTGAGAGTAGAGGTCAATGGCTAGTTCGAAGTGGTCATCTACGAAAGCTTCTTTGGCCTTTGATTCCAGATCGGAAGACGACGCCATTGATTTGTTTCGATTCAACTCAATCAAACACTGCGGATTGTGTGTTTGTGTGTGTGATTTTTCTTTTGTATGTAACGATTGGAACTTTCTGGAGACACGTTGGAATTGAAAAGCAGAGAGTATTGAGAAGGGGCGAAGTAAATCAAGATATATTTATATATAGAGAGAGAGAGTTTTTTTTTTTTTTTTTAATAAGGAAGATAAAAAAAAAAAGAATGCCTTGTTCTATTTGGAAAAGGACTATGAAAAGGGAATGAGAATGCAATAATACAATTAATTAATTAATTGATTTAATTAATTAATTACAAATTCTAGTTATGCTAAATTATAGTAATATCAATGTCACGATTTTTTTAATTTTTTTAAAATTAATTTTAGTTTGAAAATTTTATTTTCATAATTATCACATCTAGGGTTCTAATCCTACTGCACCGATGCTTCCCCAGTTTGTAAAGGATTTGAATATTGCTAAAAAAAATACAAAATTGTAGTTATAATATCAAGAATCGAGACGATAAACGTACCATATTAGCCGAGGCCTCTCACATACTGATCAACAGTTTTATTGAATAGCTCACAACTGCACAAACAACATCAGACAAAACCGACTTAGCATCAACTAAGTTACGTAGTTCCGAAGCATTATAAAAATATACATACTCAGAAGTCGAGACAATGTAACCCTTTTTAGAGGTCGAGATAAGAAAGCTTGCACGGTGTTTTTTCCCCTTGATTTCAATTTTTAGTAAAAATGTATATTTTTTTTTAGTAATAATAGTGAGAAAGTTAGTAGTAATGTACTATTATCTTGATTAACAAAACAACAATGGTAATAATTGTAGATTGCTAATAATATTATAAATAAGAAAGCTAATAACAACAATAGTTTAATGCACTAAACATTAGTTTAGTGCTGAACATGTATCGAGATTCGAGAGGGATTCAGTACAAATCTTAGCGAGAATGCTGATGAAAATTAGTAGAGTGGATTTGTTTGGGAAATGAGATTCTGAAGCTAATCAAAATGAAAATTAGCCATTTAATATTATGGTTAAGACTGATGATGTTAGTCTGTTTTTTTTTTGTTTTGCCGGAAAAATAATATTTCGGGATTTCCCGTTCCATATCCCAGAATTCCGGGGTTTCTCGGAGATCCCGAAAGACCAGATTTTAAGTAAATATAAAGAGAATTCGGAAAGTAAAATTTCAATCCCGATCCCAAAAATCCCCGAAATCCAAAAAATATTAAAGAATTTTTAGTGATGTGTGTAACTGTAGAGAACTGCAGATAAATACTCAACCAAAAAATTACGACTCACCTGATGGGAGTTCCAGGAGAATATAGTGGATTCTTGACAACATACTCAACGTACAAGTTATATATGTACTTGAGAGAGTCTCTCAGATCACCAGTCTTTGGGTGAGTGACGAGAATAAGCTGCATAACAAAAAAAAGTTTATTAAAAACGCCAAAATGATATTTTTATTACACAATGTGGACATGAGTAAACGAAAGAAGTAACTAATGAATGGTGAAAGGATCATAAGGAACTGTAGACATTGACATTCATTTACCTTTATTGAATTATTAAGGGTTCATAACACAGAATTATATTAGAGGATTTTCCAACCTGTATGGTCTTATTATTGCAGATACTCAGAAAATTCAAAAGAAAGAACGTTAAAAACTTATAAATTGAAAAGAGAGAATGTTAAAAACTAAAAAGTAAAAACTGATTGTGTTTTAGCCAATGAAATTTGGTTGGTTACATGATACCCGAACTGGATAGAAAGAGTAGTACACTCAGATAAACATAATATTATGATTTCCTTATACTAACTTTGGATTATCCTTAATTCATACTAATACAATTCATTAAGAACTCTTGAACGTTTATTATTCAAACTAGGAATCTTGTTTCTACACTATCCTCGACCCAAACACCCTAAGAGAGCTTTTTAATCTGAATCAGTCAAAGGATGAAATAGTATTTCAAGAAAGTAACCATGTTTCTTCGAAAGATTGATCAATAACAAATCCAATTGTGCGTTAAAATTATGGAAAAAAGCACAGAACTAATACCATCAAGTTCTGCAATGAAAAGATACCTAGTCCATCGGCATCATCAACTTATAACCGTAGTATTTCATGTTTCTTTAACTCAGTTGATAAAGTTAATCAATAGGGACTCGTTTATGCTGCTTTTATCTATTAACCTTAGAACCAAACTCCAGTATGAAATTTGCTTCCACATGAATCCTTTATCCTAGTTTTATTTCCCAATCAACCCCGACTGTAATGACTTCATTTCAAAGGCAAAATTCTGCAACACCGATTCCTTCTGTTGTAATAAAAGATTAGGACAGCGACAAAACTTCTATTTGCACTGGGGGAATCATGTTTTAAACAAAAAGCCCATCTCACAGTGAGAATCATTTTGACATGTAACTAAGGGATTTCACTACAGAAAACTCAAATTCATAAAATCGGAACAAGTTTAGAGAAAATTTACACATTAATGCATCTCGTGCCGTAACAAGTTTCCAAATCAAGCATTTCATAATTCAAGAAAAAGGCCACTTACCTTAATCCCAACTAAAACCAATCATCACAACTAACCAATCATCACAGCTAACCTTAATCCCAGATGGACTCTCCATGAAACTCAATTTATAAGTATTGGTTCTGAAACTGTGAAAAGAACATCCTTGCCCAGGTAACTGCGGCACCCCAAGATTCCCTTTATCAGCACTGCCAAAAAAAAAAAAAAAAAAAGAATCACTAGCTTGTGAAAGTTAATAACGGGAACCCGCATCAATAACCAATCAAAAGAGCAAATTTTTATTTATTTTTTTGGTAGAGCTGATTTTGATATTTTTCGAAGAGGCATAACGTCGAATACCTGGTGGGATCCATTTTAGCAGTTAAGGATTTGAGAGAGAAGAGGAGACCAAACATTAGCTTGTGATCTTGCTGTGGACTGAGGGTTTTGAGGGGTCGATTCCATTCTCTGTAAAGCAAAGCGACGCCGTTTCTGTTGAATATGTATAGCATGTGGGCATTGTTCCCAGATGCGGTCGGCGCCGGCGGCGATGGACTGATTTCTGTGCCACCGAAGAATTGCATTGTTCTTGTTGGAGTATGATCGAAATTCACTGATTAGTAATCACTTCGGATTTGTTTTGAGCAGAAATTTGAAGATCGGCGAGTGATCTTGACGGGGTTTTCCCCCAACTGTTAACCCCAATAAAGAAAATAAATAAACAAATAATTTTGATTTAAAATAAATTTGTTTTCTTATTTTCGGGGAAAAATTACGAAAACAATTCAAATTCGAAAAAAAAAATAAAAAAAAAATGCCCCAATTTACGGCCAACTGATGAGGTAAGGTCGAATTACGAAAAACCCCTCATGTTTTGGTAATTATAACCACCATCAACTATGAATATTTTACACGTTCATTATTGTTGTGTCAAATTTAGTAGAATTTTCTAGATTATGTTGAATATTCTTTAGTTTTTTACCGTTTTACCCCATTTGAACTCCACATTTTGAAACAAGATAATCATAATATATGTCTCTTGGCTTAAAACATATCAAGTTGTAGTGCATCAAAAATTGTATTTTTGCACAAAACTGAATACAAACTATAGAACATTACACGGAATCTAAAAGATTTTATTGAATTTAACACCACATAGATGGACGTGTAAGAAGATTCATACTTGAGAAAAATAATTGTCGTAATTACTCAAACATGAGGGTTTTTTCTTTCTATCAGAAAAAATCTTACTTCAGGAGGATGGCCGCAAATTAAAAACCCTTACATTCAAGAAAGTGTTTCAAGTAAAATCTTCTATCTAAGTGACTAAATTATCCTTCATGGAATGTAATATATTATTAAGTAATACTAAAATAATATAATATGTTTGAAGACAATCATAATCAAGAACAAGTGCTAGAGATTTCTCCCTTCGTGATTGAATTTGTTATATTGGCTGCTTATTTTTTATGAATTCTTTTCGAATAATAAAACATATTTAATTATGATTTAGTAAAAACATAAAACACTCCAACCATAGTGCTGTAATGAAATAAACATTTTTGAGTATCAAAAGTCAACAGATAAAAGATAGTCAACTTGCTCTGATCTAAAGAGAAAAGTATGAACAAGTTCAAAAACAACCAAGGCAAAATACCTCAGCACAAAAAATGACTTGTGCCAAAAAAAAAAAATTAAAAAAAAAAAAAAGCAAATATATGACTGAGATCGATCAAAAGACAAGAGACGTCCTATCAGTACTCCCATTTCTTCAACTCCATGCCGTCTGGCGCGCTTCCTTCAACCTTCTTTGCACCAACTTCTTTCCAGTTTGTCGATAGTACGGTTCCGTTTGATTCAATCTGTACCACCACATAAATGTCAGAGAGAGAGAGAGAATTAGAGAGAGTTAGAGAGAGAGGGAGAGAGTTTACGGTTCTTACGAAAGACTTGCTCATGGCTCGTTTTGTGTCCTCATCAGCATCACCGTATATGTCTTTAAAGAACTTGTTCAAAGCTGCATCACCATCGAGTTTCTCATCCTTTTCCTAAATATGCAGAGAAAGAGAGAGAGTTATGCAATCGAGGAATATATACATGACAGAAAGGAGAGAATGATAGAAGAGAAAACGAGATGAAATATACACCTCTTTTTTCATTTGAGCTTCCAATTTATCCCAGTCTACTCTTTTCGGTTTCGATGAAGGATAAGCGGGTTTTTTGTTGCCTGCTGAACAAAAATTAAAAAATCAGAAAACACGAGCAAAACTGGAAGTTCTTGGGAAATAAGCTCGAATCTCAATGTGGTGGTATTCGGCATATAATAGACGACTTACCTGATGATACAATCGCTTTCTGTACAACAGCAACATCTGCCTTGAATTCAAGTGATGCCCATTGCAAAGTGTCTGCTTTGGCGAGTCGGATTTCAATTTTTGTAGACATGACGGTGTATCGAGATTTTGCAGGAACAATCTGTTTGTCAATATATAACATCAATACACAGAATAAGCAACGGAAACGGGAATATCAAAAGAAAAGTATGAACTGTAGAATATCTGCACCAGGACCCGCTTTTGTATCGGCAACACTAATAGTGGACAAAGAAACAACTAGCACTAGCTAATTACGAAGCAAAGAAACATTAAAAAAAAAAAAAAAAAAAAAAAAAAAAATATTGCCCTATATTATGCTTTCGTACCGGTAATAACACTTTTTCTGGTTGGCTAAAAGTTAACTAAATTCGAAGTATTTACACATTAAACACTTTTTCTGGTTGGCTAAAAGTTAACTAAATTCGAAGTATTTACACATTATCAGGTTACGCAAGAACCAAGAACAGGAGGTTTGCTGAGTAAGATTCAACACTCACAAATAGCTCATTCAGGATATATTCTTACTTTCCTAGTGGAAAGAAGTATACAAAAAGAACTGTGTGCCCAAATCAAAGTAAATGGATTTTAATTTTAGACATCACCTTTCCAAATAACCGCGGCTGAAAATGATATGCTTCTTCACCAGGCACTTCAATGGTAACGCTAAGCTGAATATCAATAAAAGAGAAAAAGGAGTTTCGGTTCAGCCCAAGTCACTAAAGAACGATGTGAAATTCAGAACAATATATTCATGCACTACTTACTATTTGTTCACCAAAGTCAACCACAACGTTGTTTGCTGGTATGCCCTTTGCGAAAACTGTTACCACCACTTCGTCAGGTTTCTGATAAAATTCATGCCTGCAATACACGTCAAGTAAAAAATAGAGTAAGAGAAGTTCGACGAAATTGGTCTGGTTCATCAAATAAAAAGGATTTATGCATGTAATAACTTTTAAAAGGCAAAAAATAACAACTCATACACGACCTACTTCAGAAACTAGTTATAACAAAATAATTCCCCACAGCGTAAAGTACCATCCACGAAAAATATAATGATGTCAATTGATACTAAGCAAAACATTAGCTTGCACGAGATTTTCCCTCATACTGACCTGTATTTTGGCTTAGAAGATGATACAGTCGTCCCTTGGCTCGACAGACCAATTGCTGGAGGCAAATTATTCAGGTTCACCACATTTGTCGGAGCTTTATCAACCAATTGCTTAGTTAGCTCTTCAGTTTCCTCTGAAATACACCACAACAATAAACCGACATGTAAGACAAGTATGAAAAGGTTAGGAAACTCAGCACATAGCCTAACAGTAATAGCACATTGAATGACTGACTAGACTGCAATTGACTTGCATTAATTTATCACATTTCTTAAGCATTTCACAAAAATCTAGATATAGCTGATTGCACAGTCGTTATGTGTGAACCCGACATATTGCATAACTATATTTCAGATACTGCAAGTGTTACCGAAGAAAATTCAACAATCAAATGGAAATAACAAATCATGCAACTGACGATACATTGAAGATGAAAATCCCAAGAAAAAAGATTAGATAAAAATAAAAATTTCAGTTTACGCTTATGACAAGCAAACTAAGCTCGTCATCAAGGTTGAGAGTATAAAAAGGCAGAGGATAAAAGACAGCAAATCACATCGAAGCGACAAATCCTAAACACGGAAAATAATCAAATTACCTGCTATGCGCTTTTCACATTCTTTGATCAAATTAGTAAACCTAGAGTCTCCAGGTGCCAAAGAAGCACCAGTTTCCAAGGCTGTCTTAGCAGTTTGGAATTCTTCGAGATTGATACACGCCACACTGTCACGAGAACATAAATAAACAACTAAGAAATTTGCATTCAAAGAGCCATCAGAATAAAAATGGAATATTATCTCAAGTATACTTTAGCCAATGCTGGGTCAAAGCTAACAATCAAAACAAAGTTAATCGAGACCTTAAAAAAATCCGTGTCTCAAAGCAGACGAACAAAATGCAAAAAACTTTTTTGTTGAAAAGCTTTAAATCAACTATTCAGATTTCTATACTTAATTAGAGAAAGGACATAATGCACACGGGGCATCTCCTTATTCCGTACGAGAAAAACTAAATTTATTTCAAAAACCATAACAAAATCATTCAATCGAAAACAAACTCACCCTTTACGTAGATACGCTTTCGTATTTGCAGGGTTCAACTCGATTGCTTTATTTGCATCAGAAACAGCATCTGCACGTCAAACATCAACGGAATCCGATCACCAACAATAATAAAACTAACTTATAAACAAAATTCATATCAATCTTTTCAAGCCATACACTCAGATTAGAAAATATTTTTCGGATAAGAGTTTTATCAATTCCAACTCCATGATCCCAAATCTACATATCCGCACTACACGCAATAGACTCCACTCATTTAAATCAAGCAGAGCATAAAACTGGTTTTCTAATAACAATGCCATCAACAAGTATATCCAAAAGCAATAGTAACTTGGATTAAAACAAAAAAATTGGCTAAAACCACCAGAGCCAATAGGATTAGGGTCCTAAAATCGAAAAAAAACCGAAAACTAAAGATCGAAATTCGAAACAAGTTTAGCACAATCTACCTGTGCCCATAAAATTCTCCCACTCTACATACCAAAATTATCCAAATACAACAATAACAGTAAACTTCAGTACATAAAAAAAAAAAAAAAAAAATCAATACACAACATGAAAATCAAAAATTAATCTGATACCAGTGAAGCTTTGGAGTTTAATATTGGCCTGAGCGCGGTCAACGAAGAGGTCAGCGTTGCTAGGGCACAGAGCAATGGCTTGAGAGTAGAGGTCAATGGCTAGTTCGAAGTGGTCATCTATGAAAGCTTCTTTGGCCTTTGATTCCAGATCGGAAGACGACGCCATTGATTTGTTTCGATTCAACTCAATCAAACACTGCCGATTGTGTGTTTGTGTGTGTGATTTTTCTTTTGTATGTAACGATTGGAACTTTCTGGAGACACGTTGGAATTGAAAAGCAGAGAGTATTGAGAAGGGGCGAAGTAAATCAAGATATATTTATATAGAGAGAGAGAGTTTTTTTTTTTTTTTTTTTTTTTAATAAGGAAGATAAAAAAAAAAAAGAATGCCTTGTTCTATTTGGAAAAGGACTATGAAAAGGGAATGAGAAGGCAATACTATAATTAATTAATTAATTGATTGATTTAGCCCATTTAATTGTCAAGATAAAATTATTGATTACGGCCAAACATAATTGTCAAGATAAAATTATTGATTGCGGCCATGTTTGGTTGATAAGATAAGATTAGTCAAGATATGATTAAATAATCTAATGAAATCCAATTATTTTATTGAAATTTGCAACGTCCAACACAAAAAAACTCATTAGAAGCCAAGATATGGTAAGATAAACTATGATTGTATAATTCTGGCGGTCGACCCGGCAATTTATTGAGGATACCAAACATCAAATTAAGTCCAACTATTTAGTTAATCATGACTAGGGGTGTGAAGGAGACGAGCTCGGCTATTTTGGCCAGCTCGAGCTCATCAAGCCAATTTTTTTGGCTCGGGCTCGGACTCGGGCTCATTTAATTTAATTTTTTTTATTATTTTTTTTATCAAAATCATTTATTTTTTTATCAAAAATTATTTATAGGAAAATAAAAGAAAATTACAAAATAAATAATGAATTCTAGTTATATTTTTTTAATTTTTATATTATTATTATAATATTTTATTATTATTATGAATTATCTAAGTGTGTATATATAATATATATATATATATATATATATATATATATATATATATATATATATATATATATATATATATATATATATATATATATATATATATATATATATATATATATATATATATATATATATATATATATATATATATATATATATATAATTTACAAAAAAAAAAGGAGGGCAGCTCGCGAGCTGACAAACAACTAAATTTGTGTTCCAGTTCGAGCATTTGTCGAGCCGGATCGGCTTGTTTACCACCCCTAATCATTACTTATCTTGGCAACCAAACGGGGCCTTAATTAATTAATTACTTACAAATTCTAGTTATACCTAAATTAGTAAATTATAGTAATATCAATGTCACGATTTTTTTTTCTTAAATTAATTTTAGTTTGGAAAATTTATTTTCATAATTATCACATATAGGGTTTGAATCCTAGTGCACCGCTACTTTCCTAGTGTCACAGGGGTTTCTTTACTCAAGAAATTTTCGCATGTGCTTCCTGATTTGTCCATCAAATCAATCAGCTTTCCTCTCGATTCTCTTCGTACAAAACGCACAAACACAAGTCTTTTAAGCCAACGTAAACGAGAAACAAGATTATGCAGCGGAAAACAACACACAAGCACGTTTACGAGCAATGCCCAACCTTTATATTAATTTTCCACAAAGAATACAAAGGAGACTAAGGTGCACACACAAAATCCTCACTCAGAATGCCCACAATTGCAATCTGAACTCTCTAATGCTAGATGGGTCGGCTTTGTGCACTCATAGACAAATAAATACAAGGAAAAATGTAGTTTTCACATAAAACAATTGCAATCTGAACTCTCTAATACTTGACACTTGGTTAACTATTACAAGTAATAAGGGGCAGTTTTTCATGCTTTTCAGGCCTCAACCGCTCCGCAACTTCCCTCAAAACCGCCCACAAGGCTGGTTTTCGAGGCCCATCTTGATCGGGCGAGCACGCGCGCACCAAACGGCCCAAAACAGCCCGGCCGGTTGCTAGGCAGCCCATCTACCTTGCCTTTCCCGCACGTTTTGCTTGCCTTGCCCATCACTTGCTAGTTCTTTGCCCACACGGTCTTTAGCACACCCGCACATCGGGTTGCCTTCCTTGACTTACCAATCGGTCGTGCCAACTTGCCCACCCTTGTCAAGTCGTGGTCGATTTTCTTCGAACGTTCGTTTGCCCAAGTTATCGGCCACATGCCGATTACTGCCCACGCTTGTCCGCATTCGCTGCCGAGCAACGCCCGTGTCAGCCACAAGTACTTTCGATCACCGTTCCCACTTGAATCAAGCCGTTCCTTCCTTTCTCGGACAAACACCCCAAATGCTCGCCCAACACTCGACCACTCATTGGCCGATTGTGTGGCTGTCTTGTGCCAACCCTTGCTTGGCACCATTTCTCGGCCATGACTCGGCCACACTCGAGTCATTACCGATTGATCCGGAGGAAAACAGTTGCGCTGATGACCTTGGCTTCCGGTGACCTGAAAAAGAGAAAGCCGGACTGATGTCGGAGTTAGCACTCCGACGATCAAGTCAGTGATGGTGTAATTACTGTGTTTCCTTAGGATTTAGGATTTTTTTGTATATCTTAAAGGAAAAGAGAAACTCCCTTTTATATACACTTCGACCCGGAGCTCGAAGGCCCGGGAATTCCGCGATAATTATAGATGACAGTCGTCCTTCCCCGAACAGCCCGGGCGGCCGGGGTCATGATAACTCCTCCAATAGGTCTACTGACCTCGTTCGGTACTAGCCGTTGTGCCGCACCTGGTCATTTCGCCATAAATGCCATTGTCAGAGCATTAAATGTGCCGTCCAGCATTTATGACCCTCCCGACCTGTAAGGGCTCATCGGGAGGGAAATCAGGCCCTTCGTAGATCGGCCTTTATGCCAATGGGTTGGGCAACCCCTTGGGCCGTTAGTACTGGTGGGCCCAACCCTTTGATGGGCCTTGATAGTTGGGCTCTTGGTCCTGGACCGGAAAAGAATAGTTCCGGTCCGGATCAACTAGTCCCCCACTTCCTCTTCTTCGGAGAGGACGGGTTCCGCCGTCCCTTCCCCGGTTCCCCGGCGCGGTCGCCGGCGACCGGCTCCCCGTAAAATTGTAGCTCCTTCCTCTTCTAGGGCAGGGAAGAAGAAAATAGCGGAGAAACCTACCCATTCCTTGGTCGATAAATTCGACCTTGAGGCCCTTTATGTTACCCAAGGGATGGATCCCTCTTTCCACCTTATTGTGCCTTGTCGCGACCAGACCCCTTCTAACCCCCCTCCGGGATAGCTCACTTGGTATCTCGACCAATTTAAAGCTGGCCTATCGTTCCCTTTACATCCTTTTTTTGTCGATGTTAGTCGCGTCTATAGAGTTCCTCTTCACTTATTTCACCCTAACGCCATAAAATTCATGTCATGTTTTTATATTGTCTGTGTGGGTACCGGTGTTGACCCACTGCCCGAGCTTTTCTTTTCGCTATTCACCCACAACCGATCACCTTCAGGCTATTTCCATCTCTCGACCCGTATCGGCCGTCTTTTCGCTGGTCTGGTCACGAAGATCGACTCGTGGCAACGGCGTTTCTTTTTTGCCCGTCCGCCCTTTCCGTGGCCATTTGACCCTTCTCCCCCTAGTAAGTCCCCCAAGCGTGCTGTTTTGGATGTAAACTTCGACGAGGAGACAGCTCGTCTCCTCGCTCGTGTTCGTCATCGCGCTTGGAACGTAGAGAAGGTCGTCAGCACCACTCCCCTTTTTTTCCCGTGCCGGTCTATGGCGCACCCCCTCCTTCGATATGTCAAAAAGAGAAAAGAAAAAAAGAAGGAAAAAAAAAAAAAAAAAAAGAGAAACAACGAATAACAAAGGAAAAAGGAAAAAAAAGGAAAAAAAAAAAAAATTTGGAGAGTGCACACACGCTCCCTTCCAGCAAGTGAGCTGGAAGGGGGCAGCTCAAGCTAAACTCCCCCTCCCCTCCTCCCCACCCATACCCAAGCCATACCCACCCCTCCATTACCCACCTCCATTGGAGGTAATTTTGTCTTCACACCCCTACCCACCCCCATCTCCATTGGAGATGGTCTAACTAGAAGTCATACAGTACAAAGGTTGTCCTTTTTTTCAAACCGATGATTGTAAATAAATGTTAAGGATAAACTTACTTGAAAAAACTTGTTCGAAAATCATTTATTTTTGCAACAAGCAGTTCATGAAAGATGGCGTTTGTATCCACAGCCCATTACTCAAATTGGGCATTCAAGACAATCTGCTGCTCACCAACAACTTGCTGTCACTGTACGCGAAATGCTTCGGAGTTCAACATGCACGCCACTTGTTCGATGAAATGCCCGAAAGAGATGTTGTGTCTTGGACTGGGGTTTTGTCTGCCTACGTTAAAGACGGAAACCACGACGAAGCCCTCAGATTCTTTGACTTGATGAAGGCTTCCGGCGAAACCCCAAATGAGTACACGTTTTCGAATGTCTTAAGATCATGCTCGACTTTAAGGAATCTTGCTTATGGTACGAAAGTTCAGGCGTGTCTGATAAAGCTTGGTGTTGAGTCGAACCCGATCCTGTGTAGTAGTTTGATCGAACTGTATTCCAAATTGGATTTCTCAGAGGAAGCAGTTTCGGTGTTCAACGCCATGGAAAACGGGGATACTGTTTCTTGGACTGCGATGATTTCTTCGTTTGTGCAGGCTGGGAAATGGGCTCGTGCGTTACGTTTTTTCACCCGCATGATACAAGAAAGAGTGTCTCCGAACGAGTACACCTTTGTAAAAGTTTTAGGTGCTTGTAGCTTCCTAGGAATCAATTACGGCAAGTTAATACACGCCCAATTAAGCGTTTGGGGTGTTCGTCTGAATCTGGTTTTGAAGACGGCTCTTGTTGATATGTACGCAAAGAGCCAAAAGATGGAGGATGCTCTGAAAATCGTAAACCAAACATCCGAACAAGATGTACAGTTATGGACAACTCTGATCACCGGCTTTACCCAAAACTCGAATTTCAAGGAGGCAATCAGTGCGTTCAGACAGATGGTGGGTAATAATATTGTTCCGAACAACTATTGTTACGCTGGAATACTAAACGTTTGCTCCTCAATTCGACTTCTGCAATTGGGAAAACAGGTGTATACACAGGTTATTGTGGCTGGTTTAGCAAACGATGTTTCTGTGGGGAACGCTCTTTTAGATTTCTATACGAAGACTTCGAAAACCGTAGAAGATGTTACACACGTGTTTAAGGCGATAGTTTCACCAAATGTCGTTTCTTGGACAACCTTAATTGCTGGCTTGTCTGCACGCGGTTTTCAAGATGATTGCTTTCTTGCTTTTCTTGAAATGCGACTCGTGGGCCATCGGCCGAATTCGTTCACTCTGTACAGCATTCTCGAAGCTTGTGGTACAAAGGGAGCCCCAAAGGAGACAATGAAGATTCATGGATTCGTTATTAAAACTAATGCAGATAGTGATATAAATGTCGGAAATGCTCTCGTCGATGCTTACGTAGGGACCCACATGGTGGATTGTGCGTTGAGTTTAGTGAAACAAATGAAGAACAGAAACATTATCACCTACACTGTACTTGCCTCGAAGCTGAACCAGAGAGGATATCATAGATTGGCCTTAGAAATCGTCAATTGTATGCGCGACGATGATGTAAAGATGGATGGGTTCGTTATATCCGGTTTGTTATCAGCTTCAGCCGATTTAGGCGACGTTCGGACTGGAAAACAGCTCCACTGCCATTCCGTTACGTCAGGCTTTGTCGGATGGAAATCAGTTCTGAATGGTTTAATCGATTTCTACGGAAAATGCGGGTGTGTCTCAGACGCCCAGAAAGCGTTTGATGAAATACCCGAACCAGATATCTTTTCGTGGAACGGTTTGATTTACGGTTTTGCTCATAACCGACTTACGACATCTGCTCTATCAGCCTTGGAAGACATGAGATTGGCAGGAGCGAGGCCTGATTCCTTCACACTTTCCACCGTTCTATTTGCGTGCAGTCAAGACGGCTTAGCAGATTTAGGTGTCGAGTATTTTCATTCTCTGAGAGAATTATACGACATAAAGCCACAGTTGAGCCACTGTAACTTGTTGGTTGATCTTCTTGGTTGGGCTGGCAGGCTGGAAGAGGCTGTGAGTTTGGTTGAATCCATACCTTTTATTCGTAATAATGCTTCGATTTACAAAAGGTTGTTGTGTGCTTGCAAATTGCATGGAAAATTGCTTCTTGGAGAAGAAATCGCAAGACGAGGCCTTGAACTTGACCCTCACGATTTAGAGTTTTATGTTGTTCTTGCAAGCATATACGACGAGGCGGGTCGGTCTGATTTAGGGGAGAACATGCGCAGACTCGTTAGAGAGGGGGGTTTAAGGAAGAGTTCAGTCTTTAGCTTCGTTGCAAATTGCTAACACAAATCCAAGGTTTCGAGAAAGCCCATGTATTGTAATCAGCTTCGTTTGATTAATTATAATTACGTTGCGTTTGAGATTTGCAAATATACGATCTTTGTATTGGATAATATTACTTCAGAAGATTGCGAAATGATTATATTGTTTATCAAATTTAATCACAGTACCAAACAAGGTTCAAGATCCAATATTATAAAGCAGATGAAGCAAAGGCTCACATATTCAAACAAATGGTTACTCAGTGCACTATTATCCAGGATGTCTGATTCTCACTTAAATATCAATGCATAGAAGCTGAAAAATCTTTGGCAAATATACCAATCTTACATGCCACTTTGCCCGAGATTATGTGCCTTCTACTACAAGCTTTATTAAGTAAAGGCTGGAGCTTTTGTCGACAAGGCAAGAGTGTCGAACACAAGACAAAACAGAAAAAAAATCTGAACAGATTTAAATTCCAACAGATGAAAAATAACCAAAAGGGGAAATGATGAAGCAAAGCTACTTGGCTTGTGCTTCGGTGGATGTAATAGCAGGTTCTTCCTTTTCGGAGACTGAAATAGCCTGCTTCAAAGTGCCTGTGTCAATGGCTTCCAGCGTCTTGTAGAACTCCTCGGGGAGTGGGCCGGGTCGGTGCAAGGGGACATGCTTCGGAACTGGAGCATCGTTCTCGATTACTTCACATTCGTAATCATCGGGAATACCCCATGGCTGCCACTCTGCACCCAATTCAATTAAAACATAGGAAAACAAAGTAAACGATAAGACTGAAAATCATAATCAAGTACAAAGCGATTAAACCAGGTGAATGCATAAAGAGAGAGAACTAGATAAAGCACTATTAATCTATTGATATATGTTTCACAAACATAAACCATTTTCAAGAACAGAAAGTAAGTATATTATGCTATTCTTTTGCTACATCAACTATTTCAGAATAAGAAAGCCATGTTTAGCAACCACAAAAAGTGGGCTAGTGACTCGGGAACACTTGTGCTGAGCAACTATACTTTTTTTCCAGTACATGAGTTATTAGTTATTAGTCAGGCAGAGAGACATGTAGTGTCGATCAACAGAACCTTAGCTCGTGCAAAAGTTATAGAAAATATGAAAAGTTTCTCGATTTCAAAATAGATCCAATTAACTCTTGATATTATAAAATTTTCAAGCTTCAAGGAATGGCATGTTTTAGAATATGTTCTACACTTCCCGAAACCAAGGACTATTAGAAGTTTGTACTTCTTATGTTTTCGTGTTCAATATTTATCTCAAGATATGGGTTAATCATTCAGAAAAAAAAAAAAAAAGATGCTTAGTGAACTAACAACGATTATAGATTGGATCCAAGATACACCTGAAAACCAACAAAAGGGTCAAGTTATTATTATGTTCACTTGCAAATGAAAGCTTCATTCAATCTTCTAAAAGCCTTACCATTTTCGTTCCTGCACAGAAACTTAGAATTTGAAACTCACGCTGAACAAAAATCTTCACAAAGCCAAATTTAGATCAAAATACTTTTCTCCTCAAACCCAAATTTTAAAGCAAGAAACAAGACCTACTTACAGCTATACGATTTTCATTCACCTCACATCCCAGTCTTTCCTCGGTAAACACTACATTTTGTAACTTGCATATTTGGTGAAGAGCACACTAAGGAGAATACCATCATTTGCTCAATTTCATAACAAGGAAAGACTGAAACTTTAAACATTATTAGAATCATTCACTGAGCAAATCCATTTTCTTGCTCCTTTTTCTTTATGTGCAACTACACTGAAAAATGTTTTAGATTTAAAAAATACTTCTGTCTAGAGCAGAAATGCCATGGAATTAGGTTTTCCATTAATTCCCCCTTTCTTCCCAAATTCAAGCTGTATCCTCTATCCAAAAGATGAGTAAGAACACAATATTTCTGTAAATCACCCAAAGAACAAAGAGGCGTAAACATTGTTTCAACGCTAATAACAAATGAAAAATGCCGTACAGAAATGCTTAAGAAAAATCAAACGATGCAGAAAATTGAAGAATTTATGCGGTACGCACCGTTCATGTGACCGATGAGCTTGAGCTCGTCCTCAGCTTCCTCAATCAGCTCCTCAACCTGTCCGCATCCGAGCTTTTTCTCGATCGATTCCCAATCCTCCTCCTCCCTGCACACATTCAAGCGGTGGCGCGTGAAGCTCTCGACGGCTTTGCGGTATCCTTCGTCCTCCGGCACCGCCTTGATCTCTTCTAGGGTTTTGGTGTAGAGCCCGATCAGCACTTCTCTGGCGTTGGGGACCACGTCGAGGCCTACGATCCCCGTCGTCTCCTTCACTTTCGCCATCATCATCAGCGGCCGCGCCACCCGCCGGAGAAACATTTTTCCGGTGTTTTTTTTTCTTTCTGTTCTAATCTTCAATTTTGGGGGTACTGAGTTGGGGTAACTCGGTCAGTCACTCACTGCCTTTGAGAGAGATCGGAAGTGTATGAGAATGCAACGAAGTCATATCCCTGGTAAGAGGAAATTGGACTCAAATTAGGTTGGATTGGGCCATGTGAGTTTCTTAGCATACTATAATTAAAGCCCAACTACTATAATAAGTATTTTTATTTTTTTTAATCTATTTTTATAGTGTTTACATAATAATAGAACAATTTTTATTGGGTTTCAAATTGTATTAGGACATTCAAGATATTTTACAAGTTGGAAATTAGGAGGATCATGCTAAAGAACTATGTTGTTGCCGATCCGCGATCACTTTCAAATAAGATTGAAAAATGTCAATGGCGGATTTATCATTTGGAATTGCAATCTTGTTCACACATGCAGCGATGGTAGAATCCGTACAAACAGTCATCCTAAAATTGATGCTAATTGATTTTTGTATCTTGCAAATGATAAATTAAAAGGACAATTAGGGTTCAAATCAATTAATATGAAGAAAAATGTTCAAAAGGCATATGGTATGGATCTTCAATATCATAAAAATACGGAGGTGTAAGTAAATTGCAATGCGAAAACATCAATGGATCTGATATGGTGTCTTTTGATAAGTTGATGATATACTGTCGTGCAGTGAGAACGACAAATTCACGGAGTGTTGCAAACTATGAGATTGACCGACTTAACCACCAATTTGTTCAGTTGTTTATTAGTTTTGTATCAGGGAATTTTCGTGCATGTATGTCTATGATATTTTTGGAAGAAACTCATATTAAAAATAAGTTCTAGAGAAGTCCTGCTTAGTAATATGAATCATCATCCAAACGATGATCTATTCACCTTAGCATATGCAGTTGTTGATTCTGCAAACGACAAGAATCGAGAATTATTTTGCATTAAGTTGAAAAAAACTTTTTTTTTTCAAAACGGCGCACTCTATTCAAGATTTACTTTCATTTCTTTTTTCAATCGTCACTCTAACCTTCTCAAAATCATCCTTATAATGTTTCCCAATAGCCACTATGCATATTGTTTGTAATTTGCTTGACACTTTTAGAAAACGAGTACATAATTAATATAAAATTATCCACCTATTAATTACATAATGCTTGCATACATTAGGTACTTATCAAGCTAGTTTGTATCTCGTTAAAAAAAAAAAGATCACAGTTCACCTTAAACTCAGTTTGTTACAAGAAACATGAAACTGGTAAATCTTAACAATGCATCAATGAAGAAGAACAACCCAACAAGTTTTATTACAGTAGTAGAAACCTCAGCAACAAATCAAAGCTGCCTAATTAATTAATTAATTAATTAATTAATTACCAGATTATCCAAATAATTCTCATAAACCATCTGTGCAGTCAAAAGATCAACCACAGCAGAACCAACTGATTTAAACACAGTTATCTCTTCCAAACTCCTCCTCCCAATTTTCTTCTCCCCCTTGATCAACTCCACCAAATCCCCCAAAATCTCACTCTCTCTCATCACTTCTCTCTCTAAAGCCCCCACCAATTCTCCCGCCTCCGCCACCGCCGCCTCGTTATCCACAAACACTCTCCCCCTTCTCACCGCCTCGTCATCGCACTCCCTCATCGACGGCGTGAACGATCCCACCAAATCCAAGTGCGCTCCTGCCTTCAGATCTGCGCCCTTAACTAGCGGCACCTCCGAATTGGTGGCGCAGCTTATGATATCGCCGCCCTGCACCGCCTCCTCCAAACACCCGTTGCTCTCGAAGGAGAGCCCGGCGATTCCGTTGCACTCTTTCCTCAGATTTTCGACGAGGGTTTTTGATTTTTCGGGTGTTCTGTTCCAGACCACCACCTGTTTGATGTTTGGCCTGACCGACAAATGAGCCTTGATGAGATGTGGGGCTAGAGAACCGGCGCCGATCATGACGAGGGTTTCTGAGTTTTCTCTGGATAGGTAAAGGGAGGCGAGGGCGGAGACGGCGGCGGTGCGGTAGAGGGTGAGGGCGGTGGCGTCCATGAAGGCGAGCGGGTGGCCGGTGAGGGAGTTGAAGAGGACGAAGATGGCTTGGACTCCGGGTAAGTTTAGAGCTGAGTTGTTGGGGTGGTGGGTGACCAGCTTGGTGCCGATGTAGGGGAGGGAAGGGGAGGTGGACCAACAAGGCATGAGGAGGAATGATGAGGCGGCGCTTGTCTGGTGGGCGTGGCGGAGCGGTGATTGGACGGCGGCGGAGAGTGATGGGAGGGCGGATTGGAGGTGACGGATCAGGGATTCGTGGGTGATTAGCGAGTGGAGCGAGGCGGTGGAGATGAAGATTGGTGGTGGTGGTGCGGCGGCGGCGGTGGCGGAGGGATTGACTTGTTCTTGTTTGGTTGCCGCCATGAGTGAAAGGAGGAGAAACGCAACAGAAGTAAAATTTATGATACGAATGGAGACTTCTTTGCAAGTCAACGTTATCATTCAACAAATTTCTGGGCCATGTACAATTATGATTTACATATATAATATATTATTTTAATTTCTCTCATTTTATTTTTCATGTAAATTACAACCAGCCCTGAAGTATGATTAAATTGCGAAAAGACCTCCTCATGTTTGAGTAATTACAACCACCCATCAACTATAAATTGTTTTACACGTCCACCCTTGCAGTTTCAAATTTAGTGGAATCTTCGAGATTATATGGAATATTATCACTTTTGTAACCGTTTTATCTCATTCGAACTCCACATTTTGAAGCAAAATGATTATAATATGTGTTTTTTGCCTTGTATATATCATATTGTGGTGCATAAGAAACTGAATTTTTACATTAAATGGGTACAAACTAGAGTACATTTCACGAAATCTAGATGATTATGTTGAATTTAAGACCATAAGAGTGGAGATGTAAGAAGATTCATATTTGAGAGGTAGATGTAATTATCCAAACAAGAGGGGGACTTCGTAATTTAAACATACCTCTAGGGTGGTTGTAATTTACCCTATTTTTCATCTAATTGGGATTAAATTTTATTTATTTGACAGGCTGTCGGAGGTGGAGATCTAAGCGGACGACGAAGCTACTATAGTAGCCGGAGCTTTCGACATGGCGTAAAAGACTGCTAAAGATGCCATGCCACCAATATCGATCGAAAAACTTTTCACTCGGATATGAATTCTAAACAGGACAATGTACAACAATTCCCACATCTTTTATGTTAACTTTGTCTCGTATTTATAGCCGTGTATTTTATATGAAAAACTTGGTGAATTTTAAATGTGTACTTTCAAGTTTTTTTGCATGTGCTCTAAAACTTAAGTGGCCATACATTGAGGAAGAAATTAGACATTTATTCAAGTTTATGTAAATAAATTCGTTCCTGCTAAGGTTTGCTATAAATCATTAGTTTGAGGTGTAATAAAATTTCTTCACCAAGAGAAGGTTTTTTTTAATAATTAACCTATCTCATGGGAGGTAACCGTGTTTTACCCTAATGATATTATTATAAATGTACTTTTTATTCTTTTAGATTATCATAATTATTTCTGGAAATTAATTGAATCAAATATTAGAATTCATATTTAAATTTGATTTTGATCCAAATATTCAAAAATCAAAAATTAATATTTTAGCAATCTAAATGTTTCTTTTTAAAGTCTAAATGCGAACAAATGGAGCATTCTCTTTCAGTTAACTTACCACCCCTAGTACCTATCACTCTTGCATATTCTAGTCTTCTAGAATATGTATAGTATCTTCACAATTCTTTATAAAATAGTTTTAGAATTTCTTTATATTTTTAAATTTGTTAAAGATTTTTTAAACAAAAAGAATAATTTGAAACAATTTGTTAGAGATTGATCATCGTAAAATTAAATCAATTCGGACCGTCAATTAGGAATTCCTTTCTATATATAAGATGCCCGTGTTTGTCATAAACCTAAGATACAAACAAACATATCTACACATCAGTATTTGTACAAAACCTTCAATATATATTTCATATGTTAAACTAGTTAAACACGAAATGTGAGGGGCGCGAAAAAAAATTTGCAACACTTACATATCCTAATTGAAGAAATGGAAAAATAAGAGAAAAAATACGGCTACTTAATAACACAATATGAAGAAACGACTGACAAAGAAGAGGGCAAAGACAATTTGTAGGTATAAATTAGGGTTATTCAAAATGAGAGAAAGTTCAAAACGGGACAAATTTAAATATATTATAACACTTTTGCATCCATTTTGATTTTTGTTGATCTTTAAATAATCTATAAGATTAAAAAAATGTACTAATTATAGTTTTTTCACCCTTAAAGTTGCACATTTGCATTTTTGCAAACATTTCAATATTTAAAAATTAAATTTTTTTACATTATAGCTTTTTCTTTAAATTGCACTTGACATTTATATTTTTGCAAACATTTTAATTTTATAAATTAAAAAAGGGGGCAACTATTTTGAATACTAATTTTTGCTTAGTTGAATACTACCTAGTTGAAAACCACAATTGAGTACATATTTATAAGTTTTTTCTTACTTTAATACCAAAATAAAAATAAAAGTACAAAAATACCCTTTCATACAAAATACTAATTACATCAATTTTTCTTTGAAATTACCTATTTGAAAACCAAATAAAAAAAAAGAAAAAAAAAATTCAAACACAAAAAACCTCCCTCCGTCCACGCCGCCCGACGCCGCCGCCGCCGCTCCAACCATCGCCGCCGCCGGACGCCGACGCCAAACACCGCCGAACGCCGCCCAACGTCGCCCAAAGCCGCCGCCGTCGTCGTCTTCGAATAGTAAGTTATAGTTGTTTCGATTTTTTTTTTCTTTAATATTTATTTAAGATTTGATTGTTTGATATGGGTAATTAGGATTTGGTTGTTTTAGGTTAGAATGATCGTTAATTAGTAATGGGTGCATCTGATTTCAGTCGATTTGAGCATTGATTTGAGATTCGTGGGTCGGTTCTTCGTTCACCATTTTCGACCTGTATATGTCGATTTTCGATGAATTTTCGACAGGTTGATGTCGAAAATTCATCCAAAATCGACATGTAGATGTCGAAAATGGTGAAAGTGTTGAATTTGGATTTTGGTAATTTTCGACAGCTACCTGTCGAAAATGGGTTGCATTTTCGACAGCAACCTGTCGAAAATGGGTTGAATTTTCGACAGGTACCTGTCGAAAATGCAAATCACACAGGAACTTTGAAAGGTTGGGAGCCGGCGCCGTTTATTACAGAGGTAGTACAAAGATGTGGTTTAATGTCAGTTGTACAAGGCATCGTACAACACTGTGGACGGCCATCTACTTAGAGCCTTCGTAGAGAGATGGCAGCCAGGTACCAACAAATTTCACTTACCTGGTTGGAGAAGTCTGGAGA